GCTTTGATTCCTGTATGTTTTGTGGCGATTGATGCCACTCAAAATAGGTGTTTGTGAGGGAAAGAACAGGCCTGTTGGAGCAGCATTTTGCACACATTCAGACTGATACCTGTTACTCTGTAAGCTGCTGCATGCTGCTCAGTATTTTCAGTACCCTTAGCAGGATGAGGTCCCAAGTGCTAAAATGCTTTGGGAAGGGGCATAGCCAGTTGTGCCACACAGATGACAAGGAATAGCTTCAAAACACTCGAATGTCAGCCCGTTCCCTTCGATACTCTCAGAGGGCCGATTCTCTATTGGCAGGAAACTGCTTGCTCTCAAAATATATTCTTAGGAATTAGGAATGTGAGATCTGTTTTGAGCTGAAAATAATCCAGTCATTGTGAGGGAGAGAAAGTTACCATGCTGGAGGAGTTGGATGGCATCTGTGCATAATATTTCAGCAGTGCCCCTTCTGAGCTGGCTGCCAGGTTAGCAGGAGAATCCAGTGTTCCACTGCTCTTCATGTGAGCAAGAACAGGCAAGCTCAGACCTAATGGGGTAGTAATGGTTTTTCCTTGCGTGTTTAGGGTTTTTTTCTTAGTTAACTGCAAGGGAATTAAAATAAAAGGTTTTCCTTTTAGTACTTCAGTAATTCAATTGGAAGGTATCTTTCTGAATATAGAAGCAAATTACTTGAATTGAGTTCTTCCTGCTTTCTCAGGGTGTTGGGAAGGTGGCAGACCTCTTCCTGCTCTCAATGTGCTTTTGTTTGGCACATGACAACCTGCTGGGCAGATAACAGTGCAACTCTGTTCTCTGCGAGTCCCCCTGTCAGTGATGGGCTGGAATGTGAGTGTCACATCAGGGCTCTTTTGGAAGAGTGCTAGCACAATGCAAGTCAGTGCTTGGCAGCAGGGGTGGCTTTGAGTGCAATGATTTGCTTCTGTTTCCAGATCTTTATTTTTCATATTTAGTCTGCCTTTTATATTTGTTCCATTTTGTCTTTGCCAAGCAGCAGAGTCAGTATCCTGACCCAAATTATAACCTTTTTCTCAAGCTACTACAGAGAGTTCAGAGCAGAGGGAGAGAGGAGCAGTGTCTTAAAAATTTTAAAATTTTCAAATATGTCTTTTTTGGTAAATACTTCTTTCTTATATATCGGAAAAGTCAATTTGCATGTACCAAATTTCTAGTCAGCTCTATTTTTAGCTGTGTTTTTACTACCTGGTCTGTAGCTGTGACATGTATGTACAAGCCTCATATAATCTTGTATGAACTCATGTAAATTTACAACATCTTGAGAGGAAAGATCCTATTTTGTATATTGTTGTGAATAAACAGACATACAGCTGATAATGTCATGTATGAGGTGGGTGACTGAGTGAGGGAATACGTATCAACACAGGAATGTGACAAAGCATCTCTTGTGTGAACAGGAGCTGCCTGCACCAGAGCAGTCTCAGCATCCCCCTGATCCAGCTGAGGATGCTTCGGTGAGGACACTTGCAGAGGGGACTCCTGTCCTTGGACAGTGACTCTGTGCTGTTGGAGAATGTCCTAGTCACAGCCTGACCCCACTCCCAGCTCCCAGTAGAGCTTGCTGAGCCATGTGCTGCTGTGGTTTTCTGGTCTACTGCTTTGAAGTTGCCTCTGCAGTGCTGGGATACAAGTACTGTGGTGTGGAAATCCCCCTTCTCTGTGATTTACCTCATCTGGGCTGACAGATCCATCTTTGCTTTAAAACACTAACTAGAACATATTACAGACCTAGAATTGCTTTTCTAGAAATCCCTGTCAAGGCAGTGGAGAAGCTGTGCTGTCCTGACTCCTCTGGGCAGAGTATGGTGTTTTCACAGATGTTCAGAGTATCAGAGGGAGCTAGGTGTGTTAGTTCATACCCCTCCTCCTTCCCTGCCTGATGCTGTAAGGGATTTAGAGGGGGGCCTGCAAGTGGGATCTCCTGCCCTGCCTCCCTCCCTGATGCCTCTCTGTAAAGCTGTTGTCCTTCAGGGGAGGGATCCCACAGATTGCCTTGTGGGTGGGAATCCTCTGATATGCCACACAGGAGAAAATAAATGTGGACTTTGAATGCTTCCATTTCATAGGGAATAAACCTTTCCTTCCCTTTGGGTTGGCTGGAGAGTAACAAACTGCACCTGACAACTGTCCTCGGAGAGCAGTGGTGTTACACTGGTCTCCTGGGATGTGTCTAAGGATGAGCTGAGGGTGGGTTTGCTGATTTTACAATCTCATGGCAGTCTGAGTTTTTCATCATGTATCTACATCTAGTACAAATGTCATAAAAATGTGGCAGCCTTGCTCTCTGCCTGGGTATGCTCAGGATTGGTTTCCTCCAGAGTATTTTAAAGTGTAAATTTTAAATCTGATGGCATTCCCTGCATGGAACTACAGTGGCTGATTAGCTAAATGTAGATCTTTATCCTAATCCCTCTGCCTTCTTCCATGCTGAAAAGCCTCTAGCAAGTTTATACTTCACAAATAAATACAAGTCTTGCAAGCTATTTATCTCTTGTAGCTCTTCATGGTTTAGTGCAGCTGCTTTTATATTCCAGTTAATTACTGGCACAAGTGATTATGTGGGGTTGAGGTACAATTAGGATCAGCCTGTAATTGTGTCGAAAAGGGCCACTGATGCTTTCACAGATTGTTTCCCTGCTGAGTGAGACTGGGCAGTCTCTCCAGCTTTATAACCAAGTCATTTCTCCCAAGTTGTTAGTGCAGTGACTTAAATCTTTTACAGGGGAATGTTCTTGCTTTCTTCCTTCAAGAGATCCTGCTGTCTTTCTCTGAGCAGCAGTACAGGGAGGGAAGAGTCAAACATAGCTATCAAGGTCAGAGGAGCTGAGTGACCTCTTTATAACCTGCCCTAATTAAAAGCAGCAAATAAAACCTCGTTCTTTGTGTCTTCATCATATTGGTTGCTATCTAATATGAACTTCTGGCAATGTTTACACCCAGAGGCATTCTATTTGAATGCCTGCAGCAGTACATTAATTTCTGAAGGGAAAACCATCCATTTAAACCTACCACAGCTAGAGTCAGTAAATAGTAAGACCTGACTTTGTACTAGACATCGATTGTCAGGACTGATTAAAAAAAACAAAAACAAAAAAAAACACCCTAAAACATTTAAATTTATTGGAGAACAGGTGATTCTGTGCCCTTTCATCGTGTCATTCTTGGCTCTTCTGTTAAAAGATAATTGTATGTTCAAAACAATGTGCAATCCTTGGGAGTCAGCCCAGGCCTTGGATATGTGCCTATTTTGGCCAGGTTTTCCCATCCCACGAGTTTGTGAAGCGTGGAGAGAGAAGGTAAAACCCCAGCAACTCAATGATGTAAAAAGGCTGGGTTCATTAGAAACTTCTCTGAGCTCATCCCCCAGGACCTCATTACTATCCCAAAGCCTATTTGCTGCTCTCCCCTAAAAGCAGCATGGGGCCAGCATGGTGCCCTGCAGCTCTCTGCCCTTGGGCTACTGTGGTCAGTCTGGTTGTGTGCCCCTGGCATGGCAGCACCAGGGAGGTGGAGGTTTGACATACATACCACATGTAGGGATTTGGGTGGTTCCTGGACTATAAGGAATCCCCTGGGGCTTGCAGCTTGGTGAGGTAATTGCTGGCCAGGCTCAGCTGCTACTTCTGAAGTTGTGAGCATGGTTTTAGCTTGTTGAGACCCCACATACAGTCATCTGCAGGGGTTGGGCAGCCTCAAAAGGCAGTAACAGAGGGGTAAGGGCAGCTTCAGGGCTTGACCCTGGCTGCAGTGGGGCAGAGGTGTGTTTGCTGAGAGAGATGTGCTGCTCTGCCTACCCAGCCCCGTGTCTATGATGGGCTGAGCCTCTGCTGGGAGCATTTCATAGAATCACAGAATCATCTAGGTTGTAAAAGACCTCGAAGATCATCTAGTTCAGCTATTAACCTCACATTGACAGTTCTCAACTCCACCATATCCCTCAGCGCTATGTCAACCCAACTTTTAAACACCTCCAGGGATGGGGACTCCACCACCTCCCTGGGCAGCCCATTCCAACACCTAACAACCTGTTGTGTAAATAAATACTTCCTAATATCCAGTCTAAACTTTCCCTGGCACAACTTGAGGCCATTCCCACTTGTCCTATCGCTTGTTACTTGGTTAAAGAGGCTCATCCCCAGCTCTCTGCAACCTCCTTTCAGGTAGTTGTAGAGGGCGATGAGGTCTTCCCTCAGCCTCCTCTTCTCCAGACTAAAACAACCACAGTTCCCTCAGCTGCTCCTTGTACAACATGTGCTGCAGGCCCTTCACCAGCTCCGTTGCCCTTCTCTGAACATGCTCGAATCATTCAATGTCCTTTTTGTAGTGAGGGGCCCAAAACTGAACGCAGGAATCGATGTGCGGCCTCACCAGCGCCGAGTACAGGGGTCAGATCCCTTCCCTGTCCCTGCTGGCCACGCTATTGCTGACACAGGTGAGGATGCCATTGGCCTTCTTGGCCACCTGGGCACACTGCTGGCTCCTGTTCAGACAGCACTTGCCATAGGGGAGAGCTGGGAGGGGGCAGATTCTGCTCCTGGGGGCACAAAGTGGCTTTCTGGGTGGGTGGTGGCTTAAACTGTGATTTGGTGCCTGCTAGGGAGGTCAGCGTGTGTGACTTTTTAGACGAGCTCTGTAGAGCAAGAATCTTAACAGAGATTTGAGGGAAAAGACTTCATAAAATAGTCCAGATACCTAAAGGGAGGGCTTTGACCCCTATTTCTGTGCAGTGGGAGCTTGCCCCATTCAGAGCCTGCTGTCTGGGCTGCGCTACCCGGGTGGCTGGCTTGTTGATTGCTGGTTGAGGTGCATGGCTGGGACATGCATGAGCAATACAGGTACCCTGTGTGGAGCAAACTTGTCCGACTGAGGATTGGGGAAGAATATAGTCCCTGCACACACAGCTTGGAGGGTGACTATCACAATGAAGCTGTCTTTCAGCATTCATGGCTGTGAGAAGGGGGAAAAGCCAGTGCACAGAACAGGAGTGTCTTAATGGCATTCTTTAAAACTTTCCCCAAGTGCTTTGTCCTACTGGATTTACAGGTATTTTTTTCTTGATAAAACAGACACCCTTGAAAGGGTGTGCTATTCTCAACCAGGCAACTCTGCATGACCAGGATTTTAGCCTGGGACTCAGACCCTGAGGTTTCAGCCCTTAAGTGTGTTTGTAAATGTCCTGTTAAGACAGAAGTCCTTACTGTGGTTTAAGAGGAGAGGAGGCTTCCCCTGGAGCTGCTTTGCTGCGCTCCTGCCCTGAGTTACTGCATACAGAAATACTCTTTAGGGCAGATCCTGCATGAACTGGGCTGCCCCCTCCTTAATGCATCCTTGTTGCTTACCGAGACAAGAGTACTTGTGCTCGTCATAGCATCTATTTTACACATTAGTTGCCGTGGTTCTGTTTGGAGTGTTGGGGCAGGGTTTGGGAGAGGTTGCTTTCTCGACATGTTTATGTGTGAGACCTGCTGCAAGTGGAAGACCATGTGGTGTGTCGTGCACCGGTGGGAGCACATGGGGAGGAACAGAAATGAGGTCCCTGTGTGAGCCCCCACAGTGAGAGAGTGTGGGGTGGCTTGTCAGCCCAGTGATGAGGAACGAGTAGGGTGCTTCTGAGGGAAGGTATGTTCCTGTTTTTCTGTCTCTATTTTTGGTGGCACAAACATGCCCCGGGACAGCGATTTGTGCCCCAACAGCGAGGTGTCAGCCCTGCAGCTCCCCGGGCTGGACCCAGAGCCCCCAAACACCTCCTGTGCCAAACCGCTTCTCGATGCTTCTGGGAGATTAGAGCCCTGCACCCCACTGTGTCCCTGCTTTCGATGTTCCCACACAGCATGGAAGGAGGCAGGCACCTGCGTGTGAGGCTGCCACTCACCGGGGAGTTTGGAAATGCCATTTACAGGGTGATAAAGAGGCTATATGCTCAATGATTAAATAAGACAATAGACCTTATGTAGGATATACAGCATTCTTGTGGAATTTTCTTATCTTGTGGTATGGGATAATGTGCCTGTGAGTATGTCTAAGATACATATTCTGCTCATATATGAAGATAGCAGTGACTGCAAGATTGGGTGACAAAGCCCTGAGGATCCCCACCCTGACAGCTGGGAAAAGGGAAGAGCCATGACCAAAACCAGAGCCAGACTTTGAAACAAGGACTTGTAGGCTGGGTCTCTGCTGAGGGGCTTCTTATGGTCCTTTGTGTAGCCCTCTGCCATCCCCCTGCCACGGCGGCCAGGAGGCTGACCAGGAATGGTGACCATGGGCCTCTCCTGGGTAGCTGGTCATCTGCCACAAAGTCTGATGGCACCTGCGAGCACCCTGAGTTGGGGTGTGGGTGATGTGGAGGGCAAGCAAGCATGCGGGGTTCAACAAGACATTCCTATAAGGGTCAGCGTGGCCCCAGTCCCCTACAAGTTTCTAACGCACAATATGTTTCTTGCACTACAGCCATGGTGACTTGAGGTGAGAGATGCTGCTGGCCTGGGTGGTAATCACATTGATGTGGGTCACACTGGTGATGGGGCAGTGGGGGGGTGTGTGTGCTAAGAAATCCTGGCTTCTGCCCTGGCCTAAAGCACAGGGCATCAGATGTGTGTGGCAGTGTGAAAAGCCATGTCCAAGCCTCTGAGTACTGGCATACAGGATAAAACTCTACGCATGTTTGTTTGCTCCTGCTGCATGGCAGCAAGCAAAGGAATAATTTGCTTCGGCTGCCTCTTGGGAACTTGTCTTTAAGTCAGTATTTCCTCCTAGTGTTTATGCCAAATGCATGTTAGCAATTTAGTTGTTTCAATTTTTCACACCTTCAGAAAATCCATCTGAAAATATTTGAAAAAAACACTGTAAAAACTCTGATTGCACCATTCAGTTTAAGACTCTTATGCCGTTTGATGCAGCAACTGCTGAATTTTTAAATCTCCTTTTGTCTCTGGATTAGATTATTCTTTTCTCATTTCCCTGTTCCTTTCCCATTAATACACACAATAAGAGCAGAGTTTTTCCCAGGAGCATGAGTTTGGCCCCTGCTAAATCTAATACACTTGAAGCCTCCTGGGCCAGGAGAGGCCCTCGCTCTGCCTGGCCAGTCAGTGTGGATTCAGGCACAGAGGTTTTGGGGACACAGTCTGGAAAGCATCTTATCCAGAAAGGAGGCAACACTGTGTGAGGTGGTGAGATGCTGAAGCCCTGATGAAAGCTAGAGGGTGGGGAGTTTCTTGGGAAAGCGAAATCAGGGTTTCCCTGTGTGTGCCAGCCCAGGGTGCTCCCATCTTGCTGGGAAACAAACAAATGTACTGGTCTGCCTGGTGAAACTAAGGGAACGTCCCTCTCTTCAAAACCTTCCAGATGATGCATACAAAGATGTGGAGCATTCTCATTGAGAGAGTATTTTATTGTTATTATTTATAATGTGGTAATGCACTGGAGTGTAGAAAATGCTGGTGTTGGAAGGAATTTCAGTTGAAGCTCTTAATTCTGTTTTTTGCTTGTAATAACGCATTAGCTGTGGTCTGTGTTAGCTTAATGAGAGTTGTCTTTGAACATATCTGAGAAACCATCAAATCCTCTTCTAGCTAAACGTCAGGCAAGCTCCTTGGAGAGCAGTTTGGTGGGACTGCTATTAATCCCAGCCTTAATACTCTTCCCCCATGAAGTTAACGGTGCCAAGAGCTGCGACAAGTCCTGAGGGTGTTCATCCCAGAAGCCCACTCACCGTGGGAGGTTGCACCAGCACCTGAAGCTCTGGCCAGGAAACCACTGCGTATGACATGCTTATGCTATGAAAAAGTAGAAACATGGTTGCTACATCTCAACTTCTGACTGCACTTGGGAGCTGTTCAGGGGGCAGATGGGACAGGATCCTGCCAGCTTGCAGATGGGAACTGGCAGATGCTGGTCGTGTGGCCCATCCGGTGGCCTCTGGGCTGAAGAAGTACTTGTGCCATCACTTCCAGTGCCAGGTGAGTGATTTGGGAAGGGACGCCTCCTCCACCCTGAGGTCCCCGCTGACCAGGAGCCTTGAGGGACCTTCTGCTCCCCAGCCAGGCATGGGGTTTGCAGGGAAACCTCTGGCATTTCTGAGCATCACAACCATGTGGCCAACACATCTGTGATCGCTTTGGGACCCCAAAGGTCAACGAGCTGCTTTTGTTGTGTGGCCTCCCTGGCGTTCATAAGGCTTTTCAGATAAATCAAGAGAGATCCCTGCCCTAAACGAGCATGCTGCCTAACTGAGCGGTAACGGTAGTGGATAAACATGAAAGGAAAATCAAAGGATTAAAATCAATGCAAGTTAATACTATGAATATATTCAAAGATCTGGGCTGAAGGAGGGTGACAACAAACCATGGGTGGAAATCAAAGGGCCTACTAAGACAGGGAGTTACGATGGAAAAGATGGAGCCATCTGTTCCAGCTGAAAACAAGAGCAGAGATGGCTTTGGTGAATAGTCTTCTTCCTCTGCTACTGAAATTGCAAAAAGCTGGCTAAGATGTGTGCCATTGTTTTAAATGAATTTAGGTCGTTGAAAAGGGGAAATTTAGAATGTGATATTGAAATGTAACCAATTCTTCTCTTACCACTTCTAAATTTAAAGAAAAGTTAGGTCATCTTGAGAGTTGCTCTTTGATGATGTGGTGGGAGTGTTGTTTGAATTTAAACCCAGGTTTCCATAGGAAGAGCAAGAGCAGAGGTAGGAGTGAGCTCTTGGTCCCATGGAAGTCACTTATGTGTAACCTCGCTGATTGCACAGGAGGCAGGGTCCACCCTTGGCAATTGTTGCCCCTGCAAGAGGCAGTTATCTGGTAAATACAGTATAGCTATAGCGCCAGTGCCCCAGGACACCATCCAGGGTTAAGCCACCTAATCTCTCCCCATGTAGCACCCCCTGCTTTAATGGACATCTGGGTCTGGGTACAGGAGGAAGCCCATGAAAGTGGAATCATTGATGTTGTCGGCGTAGACACCGTTGTTGTCCCCCTCCCCATACACCTGAAGCCAGACCTCATCCCCAGCGCTGAGGTGCAACAAGACGGAGCCGCTTGCTTGGTCAACGTTGTTCTTCTGGAACTGGTCGTAGGTGAAGATCACCGCCTTATCCTTCTTGTAGAGGCTGACCTTGACGTCCGACAGGTAGACCGTCAGGTGGTAGGCAAAATAGTACGTGCCGGGGATGTTGCAGAGGAACTTGCCAGTGCTGGCATCGTAGTGGCTCTGCTCGTTGTAGAAGATCTTGCTGAAGCGGATGGGGACGTTGGGGTGGGGGGCTCGCTCTGTCAGCCCCACACTGAAGGCGGAGCGGTAGACAAAAGCACCTTCACCCTTCTCCCCCTTCTGCCCTGGGTATCCAGGAAATCCTCGTGGCCCTTCCCGCCCTGGGATTCCTGTTTCTCCTTGTTCACCTTTGGGACCTTGCATACCTGGGGGACAGAGTTGGCACAGGGAGTTGTGTTTGCACTGTGCTGGCAGCCGCTGCCCACCGGCCTGAAACACAGAGAGGGCTGTGACATGCGGATCTGCTCAGCAGCACGGAGCTGAGGAAAGGCTGTTTGACCTCACCCGCACCCATGTGCTGTGACAGTAAGTGCAAAGCCTGCTCCCTCCCCGGCTGTGTGTAGAGCTGCCAAGAGCATCTTGTCTGAAAAAACATCATTACTTGGGAAAACAACCACCAGACCAAACTGTTTGACTTGGGTTGTGGAAGCGCTATCCCTGGAGATACTCAAAAGCCATCTGGACAAAGATCAGGCATGGACCCGCTAGATGGGAGACCTGCCAGGGATGGGCTGGGGCTGAGGCTGCCCACAGGCTCCAGCACCCTGTTCCTCACCAACCTGTCTCTCCTTTCTCTCCCTTTAGTCCGTCTTGTCCATCTTTCCCATCGCGGCCAGGGAGCCCGTTGTGGCCGGGGTAGCCGGGTGCTCCTCCCATCCAGTTGGCACACGGCGTTTTGGGGTCGGGTTGGATGTCCTGGGCAGCCACCTCTGTGCAGTGGGGGGCCAGCAGCAGCAGTGAGCAAAGGAGGAAGCCTGCTGGGCCCCTCATCGTCGGTTCCTGATGTGGACAATCACTTTGTTAACCTTAACGGTTAATAGGCAGAAAAAATAGTGAACAAAGCCCCCACCCCTGAGTAAGGGAGAAGCACAGAGGAAAAGACTCAGGTTTCAATCGAGATATCCAAAGGAAAGCAATTGTGCTTGCCCCAAGGGCCCCTCCACATCCAACTGGCGTGAGCTCCATGACCCAAGCAGGGATGGGGCCCCTGGGAGCAGCGTGGACCTCGGCCCGGCAGCATGTCCCGTGCGGAGAGGAGCAAACGCCAGAGTTACTCCCCTGGCACTCGCAGGCTCTTTGCTGGGGCACAGATGGAGCTTGGGACCAAGCACAGCAGATGTGGGGTATCTGTGGCTGATTTCTTTGCAAAGCTCTGCTCAATTAGGCACGATCCGCTGTAACTTCTGCCCGTCTGAGCGAACAGCTGATTGAAACTACAGGTCTGGCAGAGCCTGTCTCAAAAAACCTCAAAAGCCTTACACTGAGCAGGTGGTTTATGGCTGCACGTACAGCCCGCTAACCTGGGTCTGTGTAACGCGAACAGAAACTACAGCCAGGCTTTCCATCTCCTCTGAGCGACCACATGGAATTATGATACACTCTTTTTTTTTTTTTTCCACCTGAATTATGTTTTTGGATTACGGGAGGACAAGTTGCGCAGTGTTTAGGTACTGTAGGGTGGTATTTTTCTGTAATCTAGTTTCTTTGCCAGTCTAAGCAATTAGTGTGGCTCCCCAGAACCAGGTTGGTGGTGACACCCTATGGCCAGCCTGGGGCTATGTTCTGATGCTCCCAGAAATCACTGGGACCTTGGTGGGCTTTGGGTCAGGCTTTTAGGAAGCGGATATTTTGAAATGGCTATAGGTCTGTGATACTGCTCACCAGGCAGAGATTATAACCTGGAACAGTAAAGGTATCCTGGTGTGAGGATTGTTAAGTGGCTTAATAGGCAATAAAAAGTGAATGGCATCATGGCCATTAGAGTTCCTTGGCTCTGTAATTTCCAAGAAAAATAGTATTTCAGAGCAATTCCTTTGCAGGGTGATTACCTAGTCAAGCTATTTAAATGTCTTATTTTAAATAACATCATCTTAGTTCTCGTGTAATTGCTTCAAAGGCAATGAAGTAAAGCTGCTAGTTTCAGTGGCGGTAGAGTTAATTTTCCTCACAGTAGCTGGTATGGGGCTGTGTTTTGGTTTTGTGCTGGAAACAGTGTTGATAACACAGGGATGTTTTAGCTGTTGCTGAGCAGTGCTCACACAGAGCCGAGGCTTTTCTGCTCCTCACCCCCACCACCAGCAGGGAGGCCGCGGGTGCAAATGCCTCTTTGCAGCAAGGGATGTAGCCATTGTCATGAACCAGGGTGGACCAGCGAAACAGATGCCTGTAAATCCTGAAAGTGTCTTGGTTTGGCAAGCGAGGCTGTGCCTGTTTGGCTCATGGCAACATGGCCAGTTTGCCATGTCCCAGGGGAGGGCAGTAAGCAGAGGGACCCCTGTCCCTCAGCCCAGGTCACCTCTGGTGTAGCTACATGCACGCACCCCTCCCAGATCAGCACGGACTGTCTGGGGATATCTAACTGTGTGAAAACATGCTCATAGTCAATAAAAATCTACCTCAAAATTGCGTTTCTTGAGCTGTGTTTTGGGGATTTTGTTGAGGTTAGTTCCAGTTTCCATATGCTGCCCAGAACTCAGATGTCATTAAAATTTTAGCGACGTGTGCCCCAGAGTCAGGTTGTCTGCCAGTGCAAAATAAATCCCTCCTGTAAGGTCAAAAGCAGTGCAAGTTTGAGGCAGCCCACAGCAGGGCTGCAGGGAGCTTTCCTGGCCTCTGCCCATCCAGGTTGCTCTGAAGGGCTCGAGGCCATGCCCATCCCATTGCATCCCTGGGCGGCTCTTCACTGCAGGTACCTTACACAGTGTAGTTTTGTCGTTTGTCCTAAGAAACGGATTGTGATATGAAATTTAAAAATACTTTTTCTGATGGAGTTTGACTCGGGCACAGGCAGTTTGCTTGTTTGAGGAGCAAAGTAATTCTCTGGCATAAGTATGTCTTACAAAGGAAAGTTTTAAGCAATGTCTGTTAGCTCCGAGTTGAAACTCTGGTGTAGGTATGACATCCCGTTACTACCTCTTTCCCGTTTGTTTTTGTCTTCCCATCAGATACTCGGCAGTGTAACATGAAATAATGTGCTCTATTTGAATATCAGTTGTACCTTTCAGACAAGTAGGAGATGAACTAATTCCTCTTGGTGGCTTTCAGTTATTCCCTTGGCAGCTGTTATATTAAAAGCTCATATGCATTATAGGAAGCTTACTCATTTATCAGCAGAAATCAGCATTCCATGCATAAGAACAATGCCGTCATAAGTGCTACATAGTGATTCGGACCATGATTCAAAGTTTAAATTACACATACCACTGTATAAATACGATGTATTTATATTTATATATCTATTCATAAAAGCCCACACCATTTTGCGCAAAACACACAAAACCCAATCCATTTGTTTTCCAACTCCAGTATTTTCTTCAAAGGGTATTAACCAGGGGTTTGGCTTATTTTGGTCACTTTTCCTTTTTGTAATTCCTTGTAACCTAGTTTTTGCTGACATTCCAGGGTGACTTGGTCCAGGGAGCTCGCACCTCAAATCTGGGTGGTGCAGGCTTCTGGCAAGGAGCTGATATGCCTCAGGGAGATTTGGGGCAAACCAAAGACTCCCAGGAGTCTTTGAGGAAGGAGGTGAATTGCAAGGTGCCAGTGCAGTTATAGCCATGTGGTTTTTCACTGATGTTCCTGACTACTTTTGATTTAGGAGTTTTGATCTCAAAATAGTGTTTCCAAAAACGAGGGTATGAACCTAAGGGAGATCGGCTATTCTTGGTTTAACATACTCGCTGGCTATTCTGAGAATAACTCCCTTTCCTTTCTTAAAGGAAACGTCTTGTGAACAGAAAAGTTCTGTCTGTCTGATTCAGCCCAATAGAGGAGAAAATCCTGAACTTAGGAAATGGAAAAAAAAAGATCATGCTTACCAGCTGCTTTGAGTCCTAGTTGGCTTGCTGCAGTCTCCTCAGAACTGAAGTCCGGCTACCACATCGCTATCCCTAAGGGCACGGGGAGCTGTCAGCTCAGACACTGCATTTTCCATTTGCTATTGCGCATGCTGACCTCAAAGTTGGGTTTTCCCATCAATTTTTCCTGGCCATCACTTATCTTTTGGACCACTTATACAATCCGGTCACACTGGGATATCTTGCAAAGATAGCCTTAACAGGGAAAAGGTGGGTTTGGGAATTTGATAGGAATTATGGAGCAGTGGTTTGCTGCAGAAGCCCATGTGAAAGCCCGCTCGTCCAGGGCTGGGCTTGTACAGCACGGGCAGCTGCTCTGTGTAAACTGGAAACGTTGTCAGCAGCTGCTGGAGAAAGTGTGTCTACGCCTTGCATTAAAGCACTCAAATGGTGCTTTTTCAGCATGTTAGTAAATGAATTACTGTGGGAGAATTTTTGGCTTCTCCTTTTAATGGCAGGAGCTGTTCCTGCCTGGGGGCTGCTGCTGCACCAAAGAAGGGCAAAGCTGCCCGCGGGGAAGGGCAGCGCTGGGCCAAGAGGTTTGTCTTAAGCCAACCAAGCTTGTGCCAGAGCTACTGTAAATCACTGGATTAAATTCAGCCATATGGATGGCTTTCAACCTATCACACATTTTGGCTTTAGGTCAAAAGAAAGTCTTTATTTCCCTGTGTCTCTTTCCTTCCAAAATGGAGGCTGAACCTTGGAGAGCAGAGGCTTTCCTATCCAGCTGCTCTGGGGCAGTTCAAGGTGAGCTAGACGGGACCTTGGCACACCTAGGCTCACAAAATCAGACCAGGAAAACCGCTGTGATGTGTGTGGTTGGAACCAGGCATGGGGAGCTGGTTACAGGGAGCTGCTGTTGTTGGTAGAGGGGAAACTCATCCAAGTGAAGGTCAGCAGGACAGTATCCCGAATTACTGAGTTGTTGTAAAGACCTGGCTGTCTGGAAGGGTTAAAAGGATGTATAAATAACCAGAGAAAGAGTTTCTAATATGCAGTGCTGAGAGTCAGCAAGGGTGAATTTCAGAGTCCTGCGGAGATGGGTGCGGAAGGGAGGAGCCGCAGGATGGCTGCTCGCTGCCTGCCTTATTTTGGTCAAGCCCATAGTGTTCAGTATTTGAGAAATTAGATTTTTTTTCTTTGGATGATGTTTTTTTTCCATGCACTGTTGAGACTTAAAACAATCCCTCATTGCATCTCCAGTAAAATATGACAGAGATGTGGCTGGATCCGTTGTTTTCCTATAAATGTGATTCGCAAGAGCCGCGTGTGTGTGTTTGTGTGTGTGTGATGCCGATGTTTCTGTCCAAGTCTTGTCTCCTGAGCAATGAATGGAGGAGCAGGATCTTGGAGAGAGGAACTTTTGTTGCAGTGGGGACGAGAGGTTTTTGCCTGCCAGTGCCCGGGATGTGAGCAAAACAAGGCTGTTTTCCCTGCCAACTCTCGGCTTGAACCCCAAAATGCAATGTTGGGGCATTTATGGTGCTGCCAGGATTTGAAAATTGCACCTGACATGCTTAATAGGTAGTGCTGCAATTACCTCATGGCCTTTCAAAACAGTTGTTAGGAAGACAACACGGTGGTAAGTCTCTCAGTGATCCATCACGCAACCTCCCAAACGTTATCCCTGCCTCCCAGAAGAGGGGTGGAAGTTCATCTCTGGGGGTGCAACCAGCATGTACAATCCCCGATGCACTTGCTTGTGGTTATGTTGTCTTACACACGTGGTTTGCAGGTTGGTGCTGGCTCCTGTTCCCGCTGCAGAGGGAGATATTGTACAATCCAGTGAGCGACTTCTGGCTGCACGATAGGAAAACATTTGAAATGGCCTTTGCTCTGCCTGGTGTAAGCAAAACCTGCCACCAAGCGTGGACTGGACCAGCAGTGCCCACAGCTGCGGTGCTCGGCAGTTCTGTCTGGGGCTGGGGGGTCTTTTTGGCACAGAGAAAGCTGCTGTCCACAAGTCCTGCAAGACTTTCTCCACTTGCACCGCGGTCACCAGATCTCCGGTGTGGGACGTGCTGCCTGTACCTAACTCGGCCACAGACCTTGTGCTGAGCCTGACTCTGTTTTCTCTCTTGGATCTGATGCAAGTCTGCAAATATGAAAAATACAAAACCGACCTGATGGACTGTGCATGGCGGGTTTCACCAAGTATTAAAAATAAGCAGAAAGTTATATTTAGCCACCTGTAGACAGGAATAAAAGAGAGCAGGAGGCTGGTGTGACTTGAGGGGCGAAAAGCCCCTTTGGCCGCCGGGAGCTTGGGATGGCTGCCTCAGGAGGAGGTCAGTGGCTGCCCAGGCCAGCCTGGCCCCGTGGGCAGCATCCATGCCTTGGGGGCCGGGGAAGGAACCCCAGCTGCTGCCGTGGTCCTCCCGCAGCAGGACCGAGCCCGTGCCACCGTGGAGCCCAGCGGGAACGCTTGTCCCCCTGGTTGTCCCTTCCCGAGGCTGCTGTGCCCTCCCCGGGGCTGGGGCCCCTCTGCCGGGAGCTGCCCCCTGCCCTGCCCTGGCTCTCTGTCCCTCCGGGACGCCTGGCCCTTCCCTCGTCTTTCCACTGGCCCTGGATACCGCACGTCCCAGAAACAACGCACATTCCCCACTTTGCTAAAAACGGCAAAAACTGTTTACGCCGTGTAGTGGGCTGGCTGACAGGCTGTTACGTGCTATTCCGGTGCTGCCCAAGGCTGTGCGCAGCAGAGGGACCACAGCCTCCGTGCCAGGGATGCTGCGGGCTCTGTCCCCGGGCACTGCGGGCAGCCCCGGCCGAACCGGCTCAGCCCTCTGCTTCAGCCTGGCCGAGTCCGCTCGTGCTGCCGGACAGACCCTGTGCCTGGCCCCGCCGTTGCCCCACGGGCCCCCGCATCGGGCGCCAGATGGTGGCGAGTGCTGAGGAGCCAGCTCCATAGAAAAAGCAGTAAAATGGCCTTGAGTGCCAGTGCTGCCATCAGCAAGGACCCCAGTCCCAAACCGCAGCTTTCCCTGATCCCGTGCATCCTCGTGTTCCCAGTCCCTTCCCGGTCCAGCATTGCACTTCCCTCTAGTGGGTAATTATTAATGGGGAAGAGGAGCTCTCTCCCTGCGGGCAGGCTGGCGGGGGGCAGCCAGGTCCTGTGAGCTCCTGGCAGCTGCTCAGCACCTTCACCAGCCGCCCGGCTCCTCCGGGCTCTGCCGAACAGTGGGTGCACCTATTGCAGCGCCATTGGGCTGCTGTGGCCATTCATTTCTCCCATGGTGCCAGTGGGGAGGCACGATGGCCTTGGGCACAGCACGTGGAGCAGCCATGCTGGTTACAAGCTCATGGACCCTGATGTTCCCACTGGATTTTCCGACGTGAGTGCAGGGACGGGGCTTAGGACTGGGGACAGGCAGAGCTGACCGCAGTGAGCAGTGGCCGAGGAGGGCTGTGCGGGTGTGGAGCAGGTCAGGCCAGCCTGCAGAGGAGTCGGAGTCTCTGTGGGGCCATGTGGAAGCCGCGCCGGGCTGCACATGGTGGGTTGCTCACCAAGGTGATGATAGCACAGGTCAGGTAGTGGAAGAGACAGGAGCCCCATGGCAGCATGCTATGGTGGGATGCTGAGCCAGTGTTTAGGTGCCACCAGAAGCCAGCAGCCAGGAGGGGACACACCCTGCTTGGATGGTCAGGGGGAGACCTGGACCTCCCCCGGCTGCAGGACCACGGGGGCCGCCTGAGACATTTTGTCTTTGCCTCATGAATCTGGTCCACTTCTCTGCAGCAGTGTTACCCATTTCTCAGCCCATTTCACATGGACAAATGTGCTCTTTTCTTCCTTGAAATGGGCAGCTCAGGCAGAACAGCTCCTTGCCAGGCTTGAGCAACAGCATGTTTTTCTTCTCCGTGATCGCAAATAAACTTTTCTGGCCTCAAGGGATCCCCATTTGGCTCTCAGCAAGGGTTCTTGGCACAGCAAGGTTTCTCATGCCGAAAGGGACATTGAAACACATTTGTTCAAGGAAACAAGGCCCTGTAAATACTGCTCAAAGGTCCTTTTATTAATGTTATAGCTGTTCCCAGGGTGCTCGTTTCTGCGTTGCAAGTTTGGGGTGCTGCTTTGGCCTCCTCGGGCTGCACCAGGGAAACGCAGCCAAGGGCCTGTGTAGGAGGTTATGCACAACTCCATCCAGCTCCACTCCGCTCTCACACCAAGTCACAGCTGAGCCAGGTACTGGCTTCTTTTAGCACAGGCTGGTCTTGTTTGGGGACACATTCTGGGCTGGGAAGAGGCCAGGCAGGGAACAGAATAACAACCTCGGCGATCTGGTATGCGGAGCACTCCCCTGCAACATCCCCTGCCAAAATTTCTCCCCAGATTTTGTTCCCAGCAATGATCGCATCTTTCTGATGAGGCACCTGAGAGCGTACCTCTGCCCACCCTCCCCTTCAGCATTGCTCCACAGGCTGAGCTATTAATGAGGTGTTTAATGAAATTTCTACTTGCCCATTAAAATGAACATCTCAATGCAGGCAAGGAAGGAGAGGTTGCAGCTGATAATCACGCAACCTCCTGAAGCCTACTTGCATTAATCGAAAAAGGATTTTTACAAAGTAAATACATTATTTATTAGGAGAGTATTTCTGAATAATTCAGGCGTGGAGAAGAGCAGTTTCCTTTGCACACATGAATCTCCTCATTACCCAAGGCAGGCAGGCCCCTCGGCTGTGAGGTTTGGACAATAGATGGTGCTAACCGCCCTCTCACTGTGGGTCTGGGATTGCTGTGATCCCCCCAAAGAGCCATCGCTCCGCTGGAGAGCAGCAGGAGGGCATGTGGTGGTTTTCTCCGGGTGTCCTGGACAGCCAGCACGGCACCTGCCCTTGGTGGCACTGTTGGCAGAGATGCTCCTGCAGTTCCCATCCGCTCGGCCCAGCCAGGCCCTTTCCCCCACCAGCATGTGGGCTGTAGGGTGGAAGGGAGCTGCAAACCCAGACAGCTAAAAACAGAATGGAAGAAAAAGGGGATTTGTTTGGAGCTTTGTGGCGTTTATGCAACGTGGTGGAGGTAATCCCAGCTCAACTGGGCCACTCAGTCTACATCACTCTCCCAGACTTTTTAAAGGGGTGTTTGCTCCCCAGCCCCCTATTTTTCATCACTTTTGGTTGCTGAGGGACAGAAATGGCATCATCTCCTCCCCGGACACCCTTCTCGGTCACGGGAAATGTCTCTTTGTTTCAGACCCTGTACTCGCTGCTCTTGATTCGGGGTAACAGTGTTGCTGGGGTGTCTGGAGGAGCCACACAAACCAGAAGAGTATATTTGCTGTGGGTCTGATGGGAAAGTGGAGGGGGCACAAGGAGCTCTGTAACCTCGAGCAGTTTGGCAGAGGCTGTGTGGGGGCAAGTGGCTCTGTGCACATTGCAGGCAGCAAGGGGCCACAGGATGCTGGGCCTCCTGCTGCTGGGGTTCCAGGGTGACCCCCAGCTCTCCTCACAACAGCCAGTTGGGATTTAG